ATTTTGCTTGGCACAAAGTAGTGACAAAACCAGGTTATCTCCTGAGAATGCCAGAGTAGGCTGCACTGAGCTGGCAAGAGGAAAAAAAAAATCTCCCCCCTTCCTCCTTGAGCAGGTTGCCTTTTGGCAAAAAGACTAATGGATTATTTTAGGCAACCACATTTGATGTTATGAATTATTCTAGGTCTGGAACCCCCTCTTCCACAGCCGGTTGACCTTTTTGCCCTTGGTTTTCCTAGTTTTGTGCTAAAGACAACTCAGTTACAAGAGGTGCTAGCACAAGATCTTTCCAGTCCTGTAGATGAAGACTTCGGGTAGGGTTGTAGCGTGCAGGGGTTGTCTCTTGAGTTGTAACCATACACCAAAAATAAATAATTTTTAATATTTAGTAGATCATAAAATGTGTTCGTAGCATTAAAGGATGTCTCGTCAAAAGTAATGTTAGCTGAGACACGTTCTCCCCATGCAGGATGTTCTTTCTTGGCTCTTTCATTAGGTTTATAGTCTTCTTAGTTGCATACGGTGAACTTTAGACTCACCACAGATTCGATGCTTAGGCTCAGTTGAAATTTCATGATTTGGTCTGGTTTCCTTTAAAATATCCTGTTTTGGACCTACTGGTTTTGTAGGCTGTATGCCATCCAACATTCCTGTTGTGAATGTAAGTTAATAAAGGTGACTGACTAATTTATCATCAATTTGAGCAGTATTGTCTATTCTGCCTTAAATTTTCAAGGTGGCCTTTTCTAGTATAGCTGTAGCAAGCATTTGGCTTAACTGCTACTTTTGGAAGCTGTACACATTCAGAAACTCTCAAAACACATGGTTTTGAATATTTTTTTTTTAAAGGCTCTGGTTTACATAATGGAAATTTCTATTACTGGAACTTGACCAAAATCTCTTTTCAAGGTTTAGGACTTCGGGTGCCTAAGGAACTAGAGGTGGGACTTGACATTAACGCAATATAATAAAAGCTTTAATTCTTACTAAATATCTTGCTAAATACCTTACTATTTCCCTTGCATTTACCATTCAATTCCTGCCTTTGTTCTACTTCCTGTAATAGAGGAGATTCCATATTCTAAATTAGTTGATGCTTTCTTACTGTTCTCACCTACCCGTTTACCCTCTGATACTTTCCTAAATATTTTCTCCTCCCAGCCCTTCCTACCACAACTCTTTGTAGTTTCTCTTCTGTTATTTCTTAACATTTTCTTTCTTACCCTGTTATATGGCTTGAAAATGTTGTGGGATGCCTGATTAAACAGCAAGTTTAAACAGGCCACAGGAAGATACGGAAGTTGGAAGGGAGCCCACCACGATCGAGCAGTGCCCAAGTAAGAAGCCTGTGAACCTGCAGCAGTGGGAAGAAGCACAGGTGGTGTCCCTGAACACTCTTTGGAAGATCATCTTTTAATTTTCATGGGGCTAAATCTTGGCTGCTTAAGCTTTGCACTGGAACAGTGGTTCTTGACTCTTGTACTCAAGGCACACCCTGAATAGATTCAGGGCACATTGGAAAATGTCAACTCTTAGTTTGCACTTGATTTTTTACAACAATTTGCATGCATTCAAGGCACTACTTTTTGAAATAAAAACTCCCCCACAACTTAAAACATGTCTGAAAGATTTGCTAGTAGACATGACATGCCAGGTTTAGAGCCTATTTTAAGTGTCACCTATTTACATTCTTCCTTGGAACAGTCCCATGGTTTCTGTGTTTCACTGGCCCATCATTTTCACAAAATGTTGAGATGGTGTGAAGGGAGGGGGATTAGAAGAACCTAGCTTTCATGTCTGCTTGTGTTTTTTGTACCATCCACCACATACTATGCTTTCTTGCCACTTAAGAAAGCACAGCCTGTAAGAAGCTTCCAATCTAAAAAGTGAATCATCATACCTGTAGATGCATCTCATGATCATTGCTCAGACTTTTTCTGATTTATGTTGTTGTTTTCCCCACCCCCAACCCATAAAAATTGTACTTAATTTATATAAAGTCAGCCAGTGTTCAGACCCCCTGATTATTGCACCATAGTGATTTGTTTTTGGCAGTAGACATTTGAGGACTTAATCTGTAAGTACAGTGTATTGGGGGGGAATAGGGGGAGTTGTTTTTTTCCCTAAAATTGAGCCTCAAAACGTGGGGTTGACTTGCACAAGATCGACTCTACTCTTGAAATCATGCAGTATTTTTAAGCGCATTTAGGAGCCAGTAATTACAGATTAATGGGAAATAGCTTCCACTTCCTGTACTCAATCTTGGATAGAGTTCTACTTCACCTAGTTGACCACAGTGCAGCTTGGGACCATCTCAGTTATACAACTGAAATATAAATGAGATTCTCTTCATCCATTCTGGGAGCATCAGTGCAGCCGTTACAGGAATAGGGAGATACCCACGCATCTTCAGAGGGCAATCCTGCTTTATAATGGAGGCACTTGTATGCCTAAAACAGGGTAAAAGAATCACTTCTGTACTTTAGTCAGGTAACTGAATTTGTCACAAGTTGCATTTTGGTCTTGTACTAGTTAAAATAAATTCATCCCTTAGTGACTAAAAAATGAGCCTGGTTATCAGATTTATAGTTGATCTTAAATTGAGCTTTGTGACTTGTTTGATCTTGTTGAAAGAGGAACAAAGTCCATCTGGAATTTGACAGTAAGCTTATTTGTTACGAACTGTCAAAGTTTCATCTGTCTGTGGTATTCCTGTTTCTCATCTGTATAAATTTGACTGAACTCTCTTAATAGGCTGGGACTTAAGTGAGCTCTTGGTTGTAGTATATTGCATTTAATGTTTGTTTAAAGCAAATTGCTAAGCAGAAACACGCACCACCAAAACCAGCTAGTGGAGAGGTTCCCAACATGGCTGCACCTAGAATTGCATATGTAGGAAGACTTCTGCTTCAAAATTGTATTAACCAGGATGCCATAAGTGCTGCAGGGTGCTTCATAACAATAGCACTGTGTGCAAACACCTACACATGATTCTAAGATAAACCCAGAGTTTCAGATAGGAATCCATAGTGTCAAAAACATTCTGACCTGTGATGGTCTTTCTGAGTTCCTTGCAGCAGAAGAATTACTCTATTATTTTTCTGTAGCAACAAAGTGAAAAAGCAAGTATAAATTAAGAACTGGCAATTTTGGAGGGGTGCCTTGACTTTGATATAAGGGGAAACTTGAGTCTAAAAAGGTTAAGAACTACTGCTCCAAAGACTTTTAAATGCACATTTATGGTAGAAGAGGCTATTTAGTCTTACAATCTGACAAAGCATAGGTACTTTCTAAACTCATTTGCTCTCTTTTTTTTTTCTGTTAGTGAAGGGAGTGGGGCACCCTTGTTAATAGTGACCCACCATCACATTGACAAAACATTGTCATACTTGTCAAGAAAAATGACTTGTGTTTTGTCCCTGTTGAGGGGACAGCTATATATGAACTTCCAATAAACTGATGTGGAGGTAGAAAAATGTGGACCCTGCATCCAGGACCAGGGGTAGAAGAGAAGTAAATGGTTACTTTGTGGTATTACTCTTCTGATTATTTGTGACTGAAACTCAATAGAAACCTGTATGAAGGGGTGAATAGGTTGGGTTTGTGGACATAATTGGGAGAGGGAAGATTTGATGGAGAATGTTTAGAAAAGTAAGTGTGTGAGAGAGACTTGGGATACATGGAAAAAATACAGGGTAGGTAAGAGAGAGCATATGGTAGTGGCAAAGGGGGTTTCCTATAATTCTGGATAAATTAGTTCAGCCCCCTGCTCTAAACTTATGTCAATGACACCCCCTGCAACCTAGCTCTAAATGGGTACCCGGTTGTTTCAGGTGAGGGTGTCAGTGGCTGGATATGATGCTGGTCATATCACTGCTTTGTGTGGTTGACCATAGAAACAGGAATACCATTACCATGCTTGCATGATAGGCTGTTTGGCTCAGGCAGACATTTGACTTGTTTCTTTTTGGTAGGGTGGGAGGGAATACGTGTCTTATCCCTTTAAATCACAAAGCCCTGGTACATGATAGTATTTTAAATTGGCCAGTAGTTTTACTCATTAGATTATTAAGTATTGTATACATTTTCCAAATACTTGTTACCTCCATCCAACTGATGAAAAGATAGACACGGATTTTACCAGCACGGAAGAAATTAAAGCTTCTTTATATCAGTGATGATATAGTAAAACTTCATTTTTTTTTATGTATTGTAAATGTAATGATTGTTGACTAATACTGGAGCATATCTCAAAACTTAATTTTGGGTGAAACTTATCTGTAAGCCTCAAGAGTATCTGTGTAATTCAGATAGTATTTAGACTGTTAACACAACTATTTTATTTGCCACTTAGTGGAACTTTGGGATATTGAAGCAGTTAAAAGGTCAGCATTATAAAAATGAATCTGTTTTGTATTTATGCCAGGTGTACTTGTTTCTCTGATTCTTTGAATTCACTGAGGCCTTTTTAGTATACCAGGGTGGTGTGATTTACAAGAACTCTGCTGATGGAGGACGATCTAAGCGTTGTATGTTAAATAGACAGAGCATTCTGAACTGAATTTCAGTGGGATGGGTTATTTCATAGCAAAGGGGAGACAACCTAACAGCATGCATAGAAGTGTATTATAATGCTTAAACCAGGGATTGGCAGCCTACAGCCCACAGAGCCACTGGGTTTGGTGAAGGGGCTTTTTTGTATACTGCATTGTGCTGTGGCCAAGCAGCTGGATGACAGGTGGCAGTGAGCTTTCTTGTGTTGCCTTACCTTACCACTGGGCAGCAGGTAGAAGAAGCAGTGGAACCAGGATGGGCCATTCTGGCCTGCCACCCCAAAATGTTGCTGACTACTGACTTAAGCTGGTTAATGCATAACTCCTTCTTCCATAGCTGAAAGATTTCAATGGAACAATAGTTGGTGAATAGGCAACAGGTATGACTATCAGTATCTGGTCTCTTAAGTTATCAGATATTTCCTTTCAGCACTTTTGTGCAAACAACTCCATAGATTTGGCTAGTTGCTATTTTTTGTACTAGTATGTAATGTATGCATTGCAGCTTGATGAGTAAAGGACTGTATGAGTTTGGGGGCTGTTGTTTCTTAAGCTTTTTTTGTTCATTACCTAGTTTTAACAGAGAGGGAATCAGTAAAGACTAATTTGGGGGCTGGTATAAAGATTCTTCTAACACAAGCAGTAACCTGGATAATAATGAATCAGTGAAAATTGGAAGGTGGAATTCAGGTGTCTGTTTAAAATGCTCCTTGCAAAGGTGCAAAAAAAATATATAAGTATCCAGCATACTTCCATCTGGTAACAATGTAAGGGATGCTGCAATGCAAGCAGTTAGAATGGTACAGCTAATGCAGTTGATGCCTCTTGTCAGATGCTTGTCTGTAGGATTGTCTTCATTGCAAAAGTTAATTTAGTTATGTATTTAAGTTACTCCACTGAGTGAGTGATCGGGTAGCAAAATGCCTACAAAAAGTAATTTATTTACAGAATGATCAAATTGGCATTGAGCTATTAGCTTCTGCATTGTTGCTGCATTATAAGCTGGAGGGTCAGCACCACCTGAGCTTCAGCCTACACCGTGACAGACCAGACTTGAGCCTAGAACATCATCTACCATGAGCCAGAGACTTTGTGGATGGAGATGGGCAAAACTCAAGTTATCCCTGACTGCAGTATGGACAAGTTAAATATATTACCAGTGTTTAAGAGGTAACCATACAACCATCAGGTGTCTCTGGAGACTGGCAAGAATAATAGTGGTTGTGAACTAAATCACCATTAAACCTGCCTTTCTTTTACCAAGTGGGTGAAATGTTTTGTCAGAAGATAACATGGCTTTTGCTTTGGAGCACATTGCAGGACATGTTAATATGCCTGCTGATACTGGTAGTCACAACAGAAGTATGTTGCTCCACCAAAGTTGAGCCTATGTTGTACTAGTCTTGCAGGGACTTCCCTGTTGTTTGGTTGGAATTAAGGCAGTTATGATGGGTCTCTTGCATAAACTGCCAAACAGGACAGTAGAAATCTTGAAACTTGACTAGTTCTAGCTGGGGAAAAAATTTAACTTGGGACATGGTGATGGTTGTACAGGAGAGGTAAGGCTAGATGTGTAATAACTATGGCTAAGTACAGACATTGCACTTAATGTGCTTTAAGCATACAGAAACAGCAGTAACAGAACAGACATCATTGGCACATACGGCGCTTTAAAAATGGCAGATTCTGCTCTAAGTTAACCCAGGATGAATGTGTAACTAAAGTGCTTTCTGTTAGAGCACGTTATAGAGCCTGTACTAGATCCCATCAAGGGTTAACGTAGAGTGCAGTGACTGCAGTCCCAGGTGGCTTTGCTCAGGGCTGCACTCCAGCCTTGGGCAGAGCTCATTTGCTCTGCTGGAGAACCCCCCTCCCCCCTACTCTTTCACTGATCTGAGTCAGTGACAGCCCCGCACAGCCTGGCAGGGGAAGGGGAGAAGGGGGGTTTCTGTCCCCACAACCCAGCTGTGGGGAGGGCATACTGCAGGGCAAGGAGTCTGGAGTCTCTCTCTCAACAGGGATGTGGTATGCCACTGCCAAGCTGGGGCTGCTGTGGAAACGGACCCCAGAGCCCTTTTCCTCTAGGAGTCCTGGCTGGGCCGTGCTGCACTGAAACTACTGGCTCTCATCCCCCATGGACCCCACTCCCTACCCCCTCAGAGCCTATAGCCAGCTGTGGCCAAGGAAGGGCTGGGGAGGGGTTCAGTTCCTTCCCTCCCCCCCCCCCAACCAGCTAGCCCCCCCACTCCCCCCCCCGTTTCTCTTTTTTTTCCCGGGGGGGGGGGGGGGGGGTCAGGGCTGGGGAAATGGGCTGTTCTGGCAGCCTCCTGGGAGGCATGCAGGAGCTCCCCCAGTGAGCGCAGACCATGAGCCCCCACCACTGAACAGCAAACATCTGCTAGGTTGGCTCCTGCTCTAACTTGTAGTGCTTTGAGTAAAACACAGTAAGTTAGAGCACTTCCTCCAGGGGCTTTTTGAAGTCTGTATTTAGCCTATATTTTTTTAGGGAAGCCACAAGCTTGTTTGATATCTCTCTAGTTGTAATGTATCGGATAGCATTTGTCCTAAAATGAAGCTTATTATAGCTTACAGTTTTTTTTGTTTTTTTTTTAATCCATTTGTATCTGGTGGTAGTATTATATATAATGAATCTCCCTTGATGGAACCAAAACAAGTTGGCCAATATTTTTGTATCTTGCAAAATACTTGTAGGAACTGTGTGAAATCTAACAGGGTGTTTATTGCCTTTTTTTAGATTACCCCAAATCAAGTTTCATGTTAATTTGGGGAAGTGGGGACACTTCTGTGTCTTCTTCAGTTTGCAGTTCCTATGATATAGGTCTTGTTTTCTTTAGTGAGCTGTCAAGGCTAGATTACTGTAATATGTTTGTAGATACTTGTAGCAAATGTACATTTTTGGCTACTGTAGAAAGTGATACAATTGTTAGAGATTTGCCCATGAGTCTGAAGTCTGCTCAGTGTGTTCCACTGCCTATAGTTCAAAGTCCTTCTGTCAAAACCTTGAGTTAGGACTGAAGGGTTGTTTTGAGAGAGAGAACTCTAAACAAAACTAAAATTAGTATCTCAGAAATGGGAATCTATTAGCATAGGCATTTAAATAAAATCATTTAATGTAGTTTTAAAAAACACTTATTTTTTTGTCTTTTCTTTTTGTTTTTAAGGTTTGGACCCCATGGAATCCCTGTGACCATATTTCCTAAAAGGGAATACAAAGATAAACCTGAAGCCATGCAGCTCCAAAGTAAACCATTCCAAGATGAGAGACAGGTGAAGTGTGAAGCCAATGGTGCAGTCCCTGATGACTCTTCTCCCATTCAGCCATCAGAACCTAGCCTAGCTAAAAGCTTATGGACTTCTAAACCACCCCCTCTCTTTCATGAGGGAGCGCCATATCCCCCTCCTTTGTTTATCAGGGACACATATAACCAATCAATACCTCAGCCTCCACCCCGAAAAATTAAGCGGCCCAAGCGGAAAATGTACAGGGAGGAACCCACTTCTATTATGAATGCTATCAAACTACGACCCAGGCAGGTCTTGTGTGACAAATGTAAAAACAGTGTTGTTGCAGAAAAAAAAGAAATTAAAAAAGGTGGCAATGCAAGTGACTCTTCAAAATATGATGATAATAAAAAGCGAAGAAATGAGAGTGTAACTACTGTGAATAAAAAACTTAAGACTGACCATAAAGTGGATGGAAAAAGCCAAAATGAAAGCCAGAGAAGGAATGCTGTGGTCAAAGTTTCAAATATTGCCCATAGCAGAAGCAGAGTAGTTAAAGTTTCTTCTCAAGCAAATACTTCAAAAGCGCAGTTAAATACTAAAAAAGTTCTCCAGAGCAAAAATATGGATCATGCAAAAGCTCGAGAAGTTTTGAAAATGGCCAAAGAGAAGGCACAAAAAAAACAGAGTGCAACTTCCTCTTCCAAAAACACACATTCAAAGGTCCATTTCACGCGGCGTCTTCAGAACACCAGCTCAGGGTCCCTTCCACCTCGATTGCGTTTAAAGCCACAAAGGTACCGGAATGAAGAAAATGACTCTTCCCTCAAGACAGGACTTGAGAAAATACGGAGTGGCAAGATGGCAACTAAGCCCCAGTCTCGTTGCTCCTCCACCCGCTCAGCAGGTGAGGCCCCTTCAGAAAACCAGAGCCCCTCAAAAGGCCCTGAAGAGGCCAGCAGTGAGGTTCAGGACACAAGTGAAGTGCATGTAACTGTTGATCAGGATGAACACCAGACATTGGGCAAGAGAGGCAGCAAAAGCAATATAACGGTTTACATGACCCTTAATCAAAAGAAATCTGACTCTTCCAGTGCATCAGTTTGTAGTAGTGATAGTACAGATGATTTGAAATCTACCAACTCTGAGTGTAGTTCTACTGAAAGCTTTGATTTTCCTCCAGGCAGCATGCATGCACCTTCCTCCTCCTCCTCCTCCTCCTCTTCCTCCTCCTCTTCAAAGGAAGAGAAAAAGCTTGGTAATTCCTTGAAAATGAAAGTTTTCTCCAAAAACGTCTCTAAATGTGTCACACCAGATGGCAGGACCATATGTGTAGGAGACATTGTTTGGGCCAAGATTTATGGCTTCCCTTGGTGGCCAGCCCGTATTCTTACCATAACTGTGAGCCGGAAAGATAATGGCCTTTTAGTTCGACAGGAAGCCCGTATTTCGTGGTTTGGGTCCCCAACAACATCTTTTCTTGCTCTTTCACAACTATCCCCCTTTTTAGAAAACTTTCAGTCGCGCTTTAATAAGAAGAGAAAGGGCCTTTACCGCAAGGCTATCACAGAGGCAGCTAAGGCTGCTAAGCAGCTGACTCCCGAAGTTCGGGCCCTGCTGACACAGTTTGAAACGTGAACGTGGAAAGTAAGGTAGGCAAGAAAGTTGGAGGCTCCGCAAATTTATAGCCTAGTTAGAGAACTACTATGAAGGACTTGGCCAATTCAAGAAGTTGCACTCAGTTGATTGCTCTTTTTATACTAAAATTGTTCCATTTGTAGCAGTTTCTTGAAAGTTAAACTACTAAACGAATTGAACATGCAATTGAAATTAGGCTAAAATGAGAACTTCAGTATTTTTCAAGTGAGAATCTTTTTTAATTAAAAATTCCCCAACACCCCGTGCATAGGAGCCATAGCCTCAGCTGAAAGGCAGTTTATTTGCAGGGAATTTTTTAGTAGTTTCTACCCAGTATGTACTTAGTTACTACATGGCGAAGGGTAAACGTAAGGGATGGAAGTAATAGCTGTGATCTCAGTGGCCCACCAGGGGAAGTGCAGAAACTTAAGCCCTATCTGAATCGTCTTTAAACTTCAAGTAGCTTTTAAGACAGTTGGGCTCGCCAGTGTGAATGGGGCCAAAGTGCGTTTACAACACTTGTAAAAAGGTCTGGTCCCAACCATGTTGGCGTGTTTAAATACATCCTAGAAAGCTATTTAGTTACTCTCCTGAAACAGTTTCAACATAGTTTAAAGACCAGATTAAATGGGATCTTGTCTTAGTGACCACTCTTTCAAACATTCAGTCTTTCTATGCACACGGGCACAAGTATGACACTTCAGGGTCAGACAAGCCGAAGGGATGCCTGTTGCTCAAAGACAAAGCTAAAAAGTTGTTCAGTATTTGGGATCAAGGGCTGTTAATGCTGCATAGGTGTGAACTATAACTTCCTGTCTTTCTTCCACTGAAGAAATCTTCTAGGCCTCTTGCCTGGGAGTTTAGATCAAGAGAGGCTTTGTTTGAATGTGTAAATAAATAGATTGCTGAAATTGGTCAGATTTTCTCCTGACTGGTGGTTCCTAAATTCTTAGGATACGTCCTAGTAAATTACACTTTGTGAATTGTCAGATGTGTAATTGTTGCATTTTGGATGTATCTAACTTCATTTTTTTTTAATATTTCCGTTTAAGGTATCTGTTTGCAGGTCAGAAAATGAGAATATGTAATTGTGTAATGCTCTGAAATGTAAAAAAACTGTAAATAAAATTGACTAAATCTGAATTATTTGTGTGTGTTTCTCAAAAAGCTTTGAAAAAATTTCAGGATGTTAGAGTATTTTCTATGTGCACAATATATAGAAGACATCCTTTAAAATGTAAAATATCCTTTCTCATTCAGCACTTTAAGAAAGATTTATTGCTTGCTGTAAAACGCAGTTGGTGTATACTTTTAATTTTGAGACTAAACATTCATCTGTTCACTTTTCCCCAAAACTAGCTCTGTAAAGGGCTTCCTGCCCTAGGTAAAGCTTTACAAATTAATTATCCCTGAAGTAAATTCTCTTCCATATATTTAAGTAAAAACAGAAAAAAATCACTTATACAGTGGGGTAATGTTTTCGATCGTTTTATTTTATTTTTTTTTCCCCCCTCCATCTGTGAAAAGCTAATCAATCCCCTCTCCACTGTTACCTTACTTCTTGCATGTCTGCTGCTCAGTGTTGGGCATTTTCATGCAGCTGATTTTGTGTTTTCCTTTCTTGGTCCATTTCTTACCATTGGAATTACTATCTTTTTTTTTTTTTTCCCCTCCTCTTCCAGCTTTGCACTGTCTTGTGAAGAATTTGGCTGCCTTCATTCCTCATCCCTCCCAAGTTTTTCTATTGTTGGCCATATAGGCAAACCTGATGAGAAACACAAATTTAATACCAACGATTGAATTTAACTGTAACTTAAAGTACAATGTAAAGGATTTTATCATTAAAAATCCTCAATGTTTATTGTAGCAGAGTTTTTAGATGATTCAGTTATATTCCTGCATGCTATTAACCAAGTCAGTTTGTTTCTAAAATGCTGAGGTTTTTTTTCCAACCTGTTTAGGTTATGTTCACACAACTCCTGAATATCTAGTGTGTTAAACGCACACTGGTCCAAACTCTTTTTTTTGCTCAGATTTCCTGAGGAACTTGCGATAATCTTTTGTGTTAGGTCTAATTAAATTGCCAACTCTACTAGGGTGGGTTTTTTTTGGTTTTTTTGGAGAATTAAACAATTTCCAAGAAAAAACAGTCAATGCTTTTTGAATGTAATAAACACACAAATTTTTATTATGTGAAATCCTGTTTCACTCTTATGTATTCTTTCCTGCAAACAGAAACAATTACTGTATTTCAGCAAAAAAAAAAAAAAAAAGACGTTGTTAAATCAGGCTGCTTTCTGAAGCCAAAAATCCACGCAATATGGTTTTTTAAATATTTCTTTATGCTTAGAGCAGAATGATGGCTATCTGTTCAGGTTTAGCAGTTCAAAATGAATTGACCACGCATTTTAAAAACTGTCTAGTTAGGTTTTCAAGCCAAAGATTTGAGGTAAAACATTTTAAGTTATCATGCCATTTTAAAAGATGTGGAAGTTTTTAACACTTCATTGTGTAGGAGTAGAGAATATAGTTCTAGAATAAATTTACAGTGAGTGTTTCCTCATATCTTCTTTGGTGAGATGGGAAAGAAAATAAGTCCACATTTTTAAGTTTGCAAGTATTTACAGGGTGTGTTTGGTACCTAATGACTGGTCATCCTGGCACATTCTTTACTGGATTCCTTTCTGTAATACAGAGAGCATTCACACAGAAGAAGAAATATAACTCGGAAGAAACTTTCACATCACATTACATTAGTAGTCAAAAATACTTGCTTTAGGCATAATTAAAAATCTATACATGACAGGAAATCATGGAAAAGTAGTCTTGAGTAGCTTACGTGTTTTAAGATTTAGTGCAGTTAGTGGTGAAGCAAATGTTGGGAATAAATGCAAACTAACTGGATAGTTGGCTGTATCTGTACTTCATACCTAATTACCCTATTCTTGAGGGCTACGGTTGGAATATTTGAGTGGTGGAATATTTGAGGCTATTCCAATGCTTGCTGCTTTGCAATTGCAAGAAATTAAGTATGCCTATCTGATCCCAAGAAATGATCGAGCATGAGCACTGATTCTGCAATATCCATAGTTTTAAGTTCACTTTCAGTTGTCTCCAAATCCAGTTTAGTCTGTCAATGACTGTTTTTACAGTGCCAGTGTGATGGCATCTGTATAATTAAACTGTGCAACTGTTATGAGATTGCACATAGCATTGTGGGAGTAAATGTACAAATAGCCCCACTCCAAGCAGCCTAGTATGCTAAAATATTAAGCTGCAGTAAAAGTAAGGGGTGCTTCTGCTAGTGTTCTGCCAATTTACTGAAATACGTTACAGCCAATGGATTATGGGGTTTGCAGTTCCATCTGTTTGCAGCTGGTATAGTCACTGTTTATCCAATGTGAGAAAGTAGGATTCAGTCATGTGCCTTCAAAAGGTAGCCTTTCTTTCAACTTCTTTAGACTACATTAAAAGTATCTGCATTGGATAAGTACTGCAAAAACCCTGTAAGAACCCACTCCTTTACAGTATAATATGGTCACTCCACATTGGAAATTGCATGTGAATATTTTCAGTGTTTGTACTTCTGTTGAGCTGAGTTCTACAGGAAATCAAACACAAATGTTCAAGAGTCCTTTAATAATTTTCAATATATGTCAACACTTAAATTGGCTCATCAGCTTTGTCTGTCACAAATTTTACTTAATTTAGTTTCTAACACTCAGAAAAACATTGCAGAATTGCTCGCTTTTTTTTCCTTTAATTTGGCCAAATGGTGTTGGGTCTAACACTTGAGTAAGGTTTTTCAGGGTTTGATAAACATAATCTAAAGAGAGAAGGATTCCAAATGTAGCCAGTTTCTTACCTTAACAAGGATTATACCACTGGAAAACTGATACAAGACTTGCTTTGTGCAATGCCTTCCCCAAGATATGACTTAAGCTATTCCACTCTTTAAATTCTTAAACGTCAAATGATCTTCTTTGCATGCTATGCTTTCAGTTTTTGCTTCAATTCTGGGAATATGCTAGGAATGGCTAAACAGGCTTGGATAGCTGCAGAAAGAAATGACATGATGCCCTTTTGGAGCCTTATTCATCATCATCATCATCATTATCCTCCTCCCCCTCCTCATCCTTGGTGCTCTGTGAAGTAAGGTAGAGAGAGAAAACTGGGCTCTTGCTTGAGGAGCTCAGGGAAGAACAAGAAACTAATACAAAATAAAAATCTGAAGCACAACTTGAGTTCAACTGTGCTCATTTATAATTT